ATTTAAACAATAAAGAATGAAGAAAGTTTATGAAAAGTAGATTTAATGTTAACCAAACTATAACAAGCAGAGATAAAAAAGTCATGGGATATATTTTCATAGGTAAGTCTCTAGTTACTAAATATTTTCGTTTGATAGGAATATTAACATTTATTAATTTTTCTTGTCCTTCAGATACATTTAAAGATATTTAAGCAGTAGTCAACCCTGTAAGAATCTTGCAGCAGTGAAGATTAGGAGGAACATATTTGATACAATATTTGGTTTTTTGGAATCTGAAAACATCTCTTCATCAATTTGAAAACAGAAAATGATCTATAAAACAAATTTTTTTATAAACTATTAGTCCCACTAACAGATCATAACGAATATAAAATAATTTAATCCAGTAGCTACTATTGGAATTTCAGGAGTAAAGAAGAATTAAAGATATTAAAAAAAAAAGCCTATTCATTACACTTGAAAAAAACGAGAGATATTTACGAACGAGAAGTAAAAAAATATATTGTATGTAAATGTTAAATAGCAGTTGAAGAATAAAATTACAAATTACGAAACTAAATGTGGATTTCAAACAATAAAGAATGAAGAAAGTTTATGAAAAGTAGGTTTAATGTTAACCAAACTATAGCACGCAGAGATAAAAATAATAAAAAAGTCATGGGATATATTTTCATAGGTAAGTCTCTAGTTATGAAATATTTTAGTTTGATAGGAATATTAACATTTATTCATTTTTCTTGTCCTTCAGATACATTTAAAGATATTTAAGCAGTAGTCAACCCTGTAAGAATCTTGCAGCAGTGAAGATTAGGAGGAACATATTTAATACAATATTTGTTTTTTTGGAATCTGAAAGCATCTCTCAATCAATTTGAAAACAGAAAATGATCAATAAAACAAAAAGTTTGATTTATAAACTATTTGACCCACTAACAGATCATAACGAATGTAAAATAATTTAATCCAGTAGCTAGTATTGGAATTTCAGGAGTAAAAAAGAATTAAAGATATTAAAAAAAAACAAAAAGGTTAAACATTACGCTAGAAAAAAAGAGAGATATTTACAAACGAGAAGTAAAAAAAGATATTGTATGTTAAAAAAAATGAAAAATATTATATTGAAAAACTAAAGTATTGTAAATATGAAATAGCAGTTGAAGAATAAAATTACAAATTACGAAACTAAATGCGAAGTTCAAACAGTTTATGAAAATGAAATATCGATTAAAAGATAATGTTTTATTCTAAGAGAAAGGTTTCGAAACCCTAAAGGAGGAGTGTAATTATTATGATAAAACACAATCAAGGAGAATAAATAAATGAACAAAAAAATTAAGGATGCAAACATTTTAAGATAGAAAGAAAACTATTTTATAAAACCATAGTGGAATATCAATTATCTTTGCTTGCTTCTTCAACTTCTGACCATCATCTTTTAAAGCACAAAATATGGAAAGCTGATTAATTATGAATAAAGTTCGTTTGTAAGAAACAATTGTCTTTATTATTTCAGTTGTAATCACCTTTATAATTTCATTGGTATAAATGGATTATGATTAGAGAAGTTAAACGATACATGCAAATCATGAGAAGTTTTTTGTTTGTAACTATAAGATAATTTTAAGTCAAAGCAAACACACACACACACACACAGTGGATGAAACAATGGAACATTCCTTATTCTATTGTGCAGGTTTTGCTGGAGAAAAGAAAGAATATATATATATATATATATATATATATATATATATATATATATATATATATATATATATATATAGTCATCTTTCCATTATATTTTCATGGGTAAGTCTTTAGTTACCAAACATTTTAGTTTGTTAAGAATCACAACATTTATTAATTTTTGTTTATTTTTTTTTCAATAATCAGCCATTGTGATCGACCGAAAAATTCAAAAACTTAACCCCCTCTCAAAATTTGAGGATAACCTTTCAGGATGCGTAGAATTCGGAAAACGAATACAAATTTGGGTGGAAAAACCTGCGTTGCTATAGACTGTAGCGCCTAAACATTCAATGAAACTTCGCTAGTCATTTTATCTACGCACTTTAAATTTATCTATATAACATACTTCAACGAAAAGAAGCTGGAAAAAAAGTTACTAGGGATGGTAAAATTTAATTCCGAATAACTGAAAAAGTATACATTTTTTGGGGGGATGTTGAGATAAGATGTTTCAAATTTATTTAAATTTCCTAAAAAATTAAGGAAGTTTCATCCTAAATCAAAGCACTATTAGCAGAGATATCGCGATTTTAAAATATTTTTGGTTTATTATTTTCAATAATCAACCATTGTGATCGACCGAAAAACTTAACCCTCTCTCAAAATTTGAGGATTCACGTTTCAGGATGCGTAGAATTCGGAAAACGAATAAAAATTTGTTTTTTAAAAAGTTTATGAAATTTCTTAAAAAAAAAAAAAAAATATCGTTAAAATCGGACAATTGGGAGCAAAGATATGGTCTCCGGTTTTTTTAATATGTTCTACTTCAAATGTTATATCATTTGTTTGGTTTTTAAATTTTGAATGTGTTACTGAAGTAATGCTACTTTTTTTAGCATATTACTAATGATTAAAAAAAATTCCAATAATTGGAATCACCTTTTATTTTTTTTTCTTTGTTACTAGAAGGTAATGTTACTTTAGATGTATAATTTTTTGGAAATAATAAACCCTTGTGGAATAATTTGCAGCTTTTTTTTCTTCTACAGATTAAATTAAAGAGATTTAAGAAGCCTATCTCAATAAGCTCTCTTTGAATGCCGAGAAAACAAAAGCCATCCTGATCGGAGCCCCCTCACTCCTCAAATTCCTTACCACACCTTACAATCTTCTCTTGAACACCTCACTAATCCCCTTCCATATTACCATTAAAAACATTGCTGTTATCTATGATCAAACCCATTCCTGGAAACTAAACACCTCCCAAATTTCCCGTCGTACTATTTCCACTCTCCAAACAGTTCAACCGTCTACGCTTATCTCCTTCCATTCAGAAATCGTCAATACCATGTTTCCTCTCTTCTCGTCATCCACTTTGACTATATCTGTGTGGCGGACTCTCGGGAGAACTGGAAGCCAAACTTAAACGTCTAATGAATTGCTCAATACGCTTTGTTTTCGGGATGTCAAGGGATACGCATATTACCCATAATTACACCGAGTTGAAGTGGCTCTATCCGCCCAACCGCCGTCAGTACTTCCTTGCAATCTTCCTATACCAGGTTATTAGAGCTGAGCGAACCTCCTATATTCTGCAGAGTCTACAGTTTAAATTAAATCCTCCATTCCATCCCGTCCTACAAGATCCCGTACATCCGACCTCTATCCTCTTCCACACCATACTGCTGCGTTTGAGGAATCCTTTGTAATTCAAGCCGTCTCCCTCTGGAATTCTATCCCACCCGATATTCGACACTCGAAAGTCAGTATCCTCTTTAAAATATCTCCTCTTTAATTTAATCACCATTTCCATTCCCGATACACTTGATTATGAACGTGAATTGATGAATGCACGTGAGATTCTAAGTTGTAAGGGTCTCCAGATACTATTCATTTATTTTATTTTATCTTTATCTGTGTATTTCATATTTATTTATGTATATTTTATCTGTTTCTCTTTATTATTTGTATTTTTACAAATTATTTTGTAAAAATTTAATTTAATTTTGGACATTTTTTATAATTTATGCTAAAGGGACAATAGTCCCAGAATAATAAAGGTATTTTATTTCGCCCTTACTACCCAAAAGGGATTATTGTAAACTGAAGTAATCTCCATAATTACATTATGACACTGCACAGTATTTTAACATAACCGTCCTCTCATCATTCCATATGATGTTGTTTCCCATCTGTGGTTTTGAACTTCAAACAGAAATACACCTTCAACAAATGAAATTCAAATCAATTTAAATGAAGTACGTCGAATTTTCTGTATATATATATATATATATATATATATATATATATATATATATATATATATATATATATATATATATATATATATATATATATATATATATATATATATATATATATATATGACAAATGTTTTAATAGACTCTTACATATTATAATTTAAGATAATTAATCTGATTGGGTAATTGGGCACTAAGATATATTTTGATAAACTACAACAACTTCTGTGTTTGTTCTTTTTTTTCAACGTTTCGATCCAATTTTCCATAAATCATAAATTTATAAAACATTAAATAAAAACAATCATACATATTTCGAACTAACCCCATATTGCTCAAACTTAAGTAACAAAAGAGTAAAATTTATACAGATGTCATCGCATGGAATATTTTAATACTGTCAAAATTAAAGAAGTACACATACAACAATAAAAGAAGTGCACGAAGCGTTGAATAAAAAGTATAAGTTATACACAGAAGATATTGTAGTCTATCACAATACATCTAATCTCATCTATTACCCAATTAGGGTGATTCAGTATTTAGTGGCCAAATTCTTTTAGGTGATTCCGGATAAAATGTCCAACAAATCGTTTATTTGATGCAGGTTTAGGGAGTTAATTCCAATTTAATTTTTTCTTAAGATGGTCTCATTTTCTCTTTTTTATAAGAAGCGATATCACAAAAGTTATTTAATTCAATTCATTAAAAATTGCTTTATAATAAATTGTACATAATTTCCTGCAAATACTGGTAGAGTTTCTCTTTGTCAAAACCATTTATAGGGGACTTTTGAATAGGCTAAACTACGCTGAGAGTTTTTTCATCAAATCATGAATTATTCGCGATTTTTTTATGATCACACAGCCTGACTATATAAACCCCAATTTTAATATTCATTTAAAAAATACTGCATTTTCAAAATACATCATCTAAGATAGTAATGAACTAATTCTTTCAACACAGATGTCTATTGTGGAAATTGTATTTTTTATATTAATAAAAGGTGTATTTTCGAAATTAATTTCCTGATATAGGATTTCAGATCGCAAAAAATAAGGAATCAAAAGTTTACAATAATTTCTCGGTTGTTATTTTTGCTTAAAATACTCTAGAGTAACGTGGATAATCTGTATTCCAGCTGAGCTCTGATAAGAAAAAAAATATAAATCGGAATATTTCATGATTTAATGAAAAACACAACTTAGCGTAGTTTTGCCGCTCAAATGCCCCTTTCGAAAACAAATCCTACTTGTAATGAACTTTCTTTGGTCTGCTACTTTGAATTTTGTCTTTGGTTCTGATAATTATTTTTATGTTACTTTTCTCAACCCTGCTTCCTAGATACTTCAACAGTACTCCTAAGTTTTTGAGCCTTTGGTTCATTATCCAATAGTCCAAATGTGACCGAATTCTCCATGTCTATTTAAGACAATATATGAATTTTTCAGTACCATCGGAATTCTGTCTATTTTATTATGAAAGTAACCGTTAATTACTAAAATTAGATATTTTTTGTGTTAATTAATTTGTTGTGCATCTTTCTATGAAAGAGAAAACGTTAACACCTTAAGAAAGTACAAAAATGGACTTTTTGAAATTGGCCCATACATTAAATGAAGTCTTTTGTTGGAAAATTGTTCTAGAGTCACCTCTCAGAATTGGCCATTAAGAACTGACTCACTCTGAATATATACAGTGGTATGAATAATTCTTCGAAAAAAAAACTAATATCATAAAAATGATAAATGTTTCAACTCAAAAATGTTTTTATTTTCTTAATTGTAAACTGATTTAGACTTACAGACATTGTGGATTTAAAATATTTTAAAATTAACATTGTTTTCAATTAAAAAATAATTCAAAAGACCAATCTATTGTAGTTTTCGTTATTTTCAGGGACTGAATATTGCTAGCTTATAGTTTAAATTTCACTACTTTTTTACCCATTTCAATCTTTATCTTTTACTAGCTGATGTACCCATCTTTGACGGGTGTATAGTTAAAATTTGAGAATCTTTTTTTGAGATGGATATTATATTATGGGGGAGGGGTTAATTTCATACCATTGGGTGAGGGGGGGAGAGGTAATTTTATTTTTATAAGATTTTCTTCCGATTTCCGACTTATCTGTTAGGTTAATCCTAAAAATGTATACGGCAACATTTGTTAGGCTCGGGAAGTTGAATAGAATGAAACCTTAAACGGGAAGATCAGACAAAGTTGAAAAATGTGTGTGTTTTAAGCGGCAACGCGTTACATGTTTGGTATTTCGGATTTTTCCCGTTGAGTTGTAATAATTTTTTCCATCAGTTGAATTGTACAACTGTTAAATAAGGCTTGCGGTAGAGTAGTTTAAGATGAGAATCGAAGTCACTGCCTAATCGGGATCTCTAGACAAATTACCCAATAATTCATAACTCTGTTTCTATTCAATATTTTGTTTTCATTTAAAGTCTATGTTTTAAGTCAAGTAAATCTTAATATAATGTCAAAATTTCAAAGGTCTACAATAAGCCATTGCTGAGCTTACCTCTGACAAAATTTCGTAGGACAATGCGGACATCCAGACAGACAGACAAAATGTTTTACAAGTGGATTTGGTGTCTGTAATGTTTAAAACAGAAAGATATCATGAAATGGTTTGATTCTATTCAATGTATAGACAAAGCCTTGATTTTATGTAT